TAACCTAAGTTAGATTTCTGCCACTTCAAAGAGTCTTAACCCCCACAATAACCTAAAACAACTATTGCAAACATTAATCAGAAACCTCTTTTATTTTTCTAAATTGAAAGAAACTGACTAGTCTAGGAGAATTGGGGCACTAGTATGCCACAATGTGAAATGAAGACTACTGAGTATGAGAGCACATGGATGGCTATCCCTGGCATTGCCTCTCCCTCAGTACTTCTGGTTATGAAGGAATCTCACTTAGTACCCCATGACAAGGCAAAGATCCCTCCTCCCAGGAGCTAGTAAGTCAGCACCAGGGGAACGATAGGAGTGGATCAAAAATACTTAGCACCTGCTATGTATCAGGCACTAGGCCAAGCACTAGGAATGTATCAGTGTACAAGAACATGCAGAGCCCTTCCCTCATAGAGCTTACATTCTACTGGGAAGACAGACAATAAACAATGACTGTGATACAGCTAATGAAAATGCTATGGAGCACTCTGATGAAGAACACCTGGGTGCCTGTTAAAGGGTACTATACATGTAAGAGGCAAAACCTCTTTAAGATGTGGGCAGTCAAGCTAAAAGACCTGAAGGATGAGAGTGAGGCATGTGGAAAGCCATGTTAGGAGGGGAAAGGAAGTATACAAGCCTTGAGCTGGAAAACGCTTGAGGTGCTCTAGCCAGTGAGTGAGCAAGGGAAGAAGGAACTTGAGATGAAGCTGGAGAGGTAAGCAAAGGCCAGGTCTTGAAGGGTAGTCTAGATCTCTAAAAGATTTTCTGTGCAATGGGATACAACCAAAAGGTTTTAAGCAAGAAAGGGTCATTTGGAAAAGATCACTTTGGCTTTCAGGTACATAAGGGCTTCACACCAGCGTGGAGGGGTACTGTCTTAGCCCGTTTAGGCTGCTGTAACAAAACAGCACAGGCTGGGTGGCTTATAAACAACACAAAATGTATGTCTCACAGTTCTGAAGCCTGGAAAGTCAAGATCAGGGGCTAAAATGGTTGATTGCCTTCTGGTAAGGACCCTTTTATTGTTCCTAGCTGGCACCTTCTTACTGAGTCCTTACATGGTGGAAGGGGTGCGTGATCTCTCTGGAGCCTTCCATAGGCACTCATCTTGTTCGTGAGGGGTCTACCCTCAGGATTAAAGCACCTCCCAAAGGGCCCATCTCCTGATGCTGTCACCTCTGAGGCTAGGATTTCAACATATGAACTGGGGGAGACACAAACATTTAGATCACAGCAGAGACAAGAATGGAGATGGGGAGGGTAGTTGGAGGTATTGCAAGCCCAGGTAAGAGATGATGATAGTAGCTTGTGCTAGAGTATTGGCACTGAAGACAGAGAGAAATTGATGGATTAGAGACATATTATGGATATAGAACTGAGGAGTCACAGTAATCCAGGAGCAGACTGATTACATAGCCCAGGACTTCCTAAACTTTGGTAGCTAGCTAACAAAACCTGTAGGGAGCTACCAAAAACAGACTGTTGAGTTCCATCCCTAAAGCTTAGAATTCAGTAGTCTGGGGTAGAACCCAGAAGTCTGAACTCTCCATGAATCCTTGAGAGATTCTGTTACAGGGCCAGACTTGAAAAAAAACGTGGATTTCTGCTGTAACTCCAGGTCAGCTATATTCCTACAGCCCAGATGCTTTGGGCTGCCTCCTTACATGGGCCAACCAACACCTGTAAAGAGTGTAGACTAATCTCAAAGCAGTTACAACACCTTAGGAAGCAGCAGTGGGTGTCCCAGATTCTGGCTTACTGAGGAGCAAGTTCAAGCCCGTAACCAATATAACCTCAAACAGCAGGAGCGCTTGGGGAAATAGGCTCTCCCTTATACCTAAATTTGGTTTTTGGACATTCAACTCTGTTAAGAAAGTTTTCCAAAAACATATGGTTTTATCTTTTTGTAAAAGCAGGATAGCAGGCATGTGTTGAGTTCTTGATAGTTGGGGTCCTTCTGAGCCTCAGAGTTATCCTCACTATTATAGTTTGGAAGTGGGGGTGAACTGAATTAGCCTAAGACAGCAGGCTCGCAAAGGCAGAGGCCAGGGGGGTGGGGCTTTAGTGTCCCTCACTCCCTAGGATCTCTAGTAGCCCCACCCCATCCCCAGCAAGCCACCAAAAATAAATATATACACCACATAAAGTGTAATTTGTGCCTATCAAAGGAAAAAGAATTTCTAGCCATTCCAAATAAGCATGTATTCTAAGTAAATGAGTTCCCTAAGTCCCCCACTTTTTGCTGCCCCCTTTTTATAGAATCTCTTTTGTGAGAATTCTGGAACCATCACTGGCTCCAGAATAATCTGGTACTGATCCAAATCTTCCTTTATTATATATTGGCATAAGATTAAAATTCTACTAGTTTTCTTCTGTTTCAGGCCACCATGAAGTAACAGGGACTAGATGGTCCTCACACCCAAAACAACCAAAAACTGGAAAAATATATGAAAAAAAAACCCAACTTTTAAGACACTGGACATTAGGCATAAGCCAGCTCTGAGAGGTGGGAAACAAACAGGGTTGACCTAACAACTGCCCCAGCTTACCACCTGAGAAAGTTTTTAGGCCACAGTACAGGGCAGGGGTGACAGATACTGACTGTGGTGATGGTTTCACGAGTGTTTGCATATGGCAAAAAGTATCAAATTGTATACTTTAAATATTGCAGTTGCACTTAAATGTCAATCATACTTCAAAAAAACAAATTTCTACTAATTGAACTTCTTTCCTTGAGCTTCTAGCTTTGATGCCTGTTAAAACGGAAATCCTATTGAAGGGAGAACCATTTTAAATTTGTATTATTGCACCATGGCATCAATAAAAACCCAAGTGCAGAATTTTACTGGGAAAGCTAGGATGCTTCCTAGGGAAGGCGAGAGAAGACTACAAGGGAAAGGGAGAAAGCCCACAGGATTGGGAAAATGGAAGCCAACCTGACAGGTGTGTTGCCAGCTGGAAACTAAGGTGGTTCCCGCGGAAACATGTGGTGGTGTTTTTTAGTGGCCACAATAAAGGAGGTGCATTACTGGCATTTCGTGGACCACAGCCAGAGAAGCTCAAGTCTCACAATGCGTGGGATCATTCTTCATGATAACAAAAGGTCCCCCACAAAATGCCAATAGCACCCCATTGAGAAAACCTAGGGGAAGGAATTCAGCCACACAGTCTGTCCCCCAATCCAGCAGTACAAAGGGGTCTCAGTGTGCTTTCTGAGCTCTGGTTAGCAATGCAAAGTAGAACACTTACTAGTCAATCCTGTCTTAGCTAATAAATTTTTCTGATCTTTCAGCTTCAAGTGTAATTGGAACCTCTAAAACTTTTGAGAATCCTGACAGGAACACAGAGACCATTTTTCAAGATAACTTCTTAAACTCCAAAAACCTTTAAGAAAATTAAAGTTACTGCAGCCAAATTCCCACCAATTTTATTGTTCAGAATAGTTGGTTATAAAGTAAAAAGTCTATAAAGCAAATTGGTGATATATTCCCAGTAGGAAAGAAAACAACTTCCTAAACCACTTGTTTCTTACTGTTTTTTGGTAAGAAAGGAAGTTATCATAATGAAATTTAGGTTTTGAAGAGACTTTGTAGGTCATCTTGCTCAGTAAGAGGAGATGAAAGGGCAGTGCGAAAACGGTTCCCTACCCCAGCAACTGAAGTCACTACACAGTGTAGACCACCACAGTTTTGTGGATACTGCCCAATTAGGAGCTCCCTTTTCCTTTATAGCATTTTTCAATGTTTTCCTAACTTGAATATTTCTCCCATGCCATGACTTGACTCTCAGGGCCCCAACCCACATTAATTTTCCCCAGGCCTATATATCCCCTGACTTTACAGCTCTCAGAATCCTATGCTGCCCTACTCCTTCTAATGTCTAGATACTTCAGGTGTTGTAAAGAATCATATGTATCACCTAAGGTTATGTAGCTTAGGAAACTCCTTTTAAAATTTATACCCACCTTCCAGATGGAGATTTCAACTGCCAGATGAACTTCTCCACCAGATAAGGCTCACTAGGACCTGGGGCTTGATCCCTCTAGACATCCTTATTTCTTTGAAAGGCATCACTTTGCAGAACCGCAGCTTAAAACCACAGTGGTTTCTGTCTCCATCACTCCCATGTTTAATCAATCAGTTCATGTTCAGTTGGTCTTGCAGATTTTGCCTTTGAAATGTCTCTTCCTTCCTGTTTTCTTAATTCCCACTACCACTATCCTAGTTCAGATTCTCATTATTTCCCACCAATCTTTGGTTTCTCCCCACTTCAATCCATTTTAAGCACAACTAATTATTTTTCCATAATAATGGTTTTTATCAAATATAAAAATGTGGGCCCAGTTTTACTTTCTAACCTTTATCTGGTATTGATGTTCTATTTTTAAATCACACCAGACTGCTTACCTTTCCTAATACATGTTCCCTTTTCTCCTGCCTCTATCTGTTTCTACTATCCCTCCAACCGCAGTATCTCCATGTCCATGGGCACTATTTCTTCACTAACTGTCATCTGGCATCTTGACTTCTCTCCACAGCCGAGTATGATTTCCCCTCTTTAAATCTCTGACAATTAATTCAAACTCATTTATGACATTTAGTGTGCACACCACATATTATGTTATTTATTCAAATGTCGCAAATCCTGGTTAAAATCAGCTTCTCAAAGATAAGAACTATGCCTTACTCATCTTTCTATTCATTACAGGGCCTGACAGAAGGAGAACCCAATAAGTGCTTCTTAATCAGTTATTATTTATATTGTGACATCTATACATTCAGTTGAAATAAGAAAATTATACTTTATTATTTAACTAACTGGATTTGAATTTAGAAGAAAGTTCTCCCAAAAGAATCCTCTTCATTAGTTCACATAGGAGATAAACAGAACTTAATCCAAAGCTATTAGTAGAGAAAAAGCATTAAAAAGAGCAAATTGAAGTGTAAAATGTTTTTAGTCTGCAAGTTAAAAATGTAACCCTAAAACAATCTCACCAAAGAGAGGATTTCTTCAGACTTCTGGGCTCTTTGCCTTTCCAAAAGACAGGGCCATTAATCTCTTCTTTGACTTAAAAAAAAAAAAAGCCAGTTGGTAATTACATACTTTGCTTGAGTTTACAAAGAAAACATAGTTACATGTATTGATTTAATGACTGTTTATAAATTCTCACAAAAACATCCAAGACCAAAATTATAAGATAGGCAACATGATGGAGCAAAAAGAAACTTGGCTTTGATGTTAAAACATGTACTCAAGTTCAGACTCTTGTGAAATATGAACTTTGCCAGTTTATTGCTCTGGCCTCAGTATTTTCATTTATAAAAATAAGCATGATAATTCTGAAAATGAATATGAGATAATGTATATAAAAATGATGCACATCAATGCAATCCCTTTCAAAATACCAATAGCATTCTTCAATGAACTGGAACAGATAGTTCTAAAATTCATACAGAACCACAAAAGACCCTAAATAGCCAAAGCAATCCTGAGAAGGAAGAAGAAAGTCTCGCTTCCCAACTTCAAGCTCTACTACAAAGCCACAGTAATCAAGACAATTTGATACTGGCACAAGAACAGACCCATAGACCAGTGGAACAGAATAGAGAGTCCAGATATTAACCCAAGCATATATGGCCAATTAATATATGATAAAGGAGCCATGGATATACAGTAGGGAAATGACAGCCTCTTCAACAGCTGGTGTTGGCAAACTGGACAGCTACATGTAAGAGAATGAAACTGGATTACTGTCTAACCCCATACAAAAAAGTAAACTCAAAATGGATCAAAGGCCTGAATGTAAGTCATGAAATCATAAAACTCTTAGAAAAAAACGTAGGCAAAAATCTCTTGAATATAAACATGAACAACTTCTTCATGAACATATCTCCCCGGGCAATGGAAACAAAAGCAAAAATGAACAAGTGGGACTATATCAAACTAAAAAGCTTCTGTACAGCAAAGGACACCATCAGTAAAACAAAAAGGCATCCTACAGTATGGGAGAATATATTCACAAATGACATACCAGATAAGGGGTTTACATCCAAAATATACAAAGAGCTCATGCACCTCAACAAACAAAAAGCAAATAATCGAATTAAAAAATGGGCAGAGGGGCTGAACAGACACTTCTCCAAAGAAGAAATTCAGATGGCCAACAGGCACATGAAAAGATGCTCCACATCGCTAATCATCAGAGAAATGCAAATTAAAACCACAATGAGATATTACATCACACCAGTTAGGATGGCCACCATCCAAAAGACAGACAACAACAAATGTTGGTGAGGATGTGGAGAAAGGGGAACCCTCGTACACTGCTGGTGGGAATGTAAAATAGGTTCAACCATTGTGGAAAGTTGTATGGCAGTTCCTCAAAAAACTCAAAATAGAAATACCATTTGACCCAGAAATTCCACTCATAGGAATTTACCCTAAGAATGCAGCAGTCCAGTTTGGAAAAGACATAGCACCCCTGTGTTTATTGCAGCACTGTTTACAATAGCCAAGAAATGGAAGCAACGTAAGTGTCCCATCAGTAGATGGATAAAGAAGATGTGGTACATATACACAATGGAATATTATTCAGCCATAAGAAGAAAACAAATCTTACCATTTGCAACAACATGGATGGAGCTAGAACATATAGAGCTTCACTGAAATAAGCCAGGTGAATAAAGACAAGTACCAAATGATTTCACTCATCTGTAGAGTATAAGAACAAAGGAAAAACTGAAGAAACAAAACAGCAGCAGAATCACAGAACCCAAGAATGGAGTAACAGTTACCAAAGGGAAAGGGGCTGGGGAGGATGGGTAGGAAGGGAGGGAGAAGGGGAATAAGGGGCATTACAATTAACACACATAATGTAGGCGGGGATCAAAGGGAAGGCAGTATAGGACAGAGAAGACAAGTAGTGGCTCTATATCATCTTACTATGCTGATGGACAGTGACTATAATGGGGTATATGGTGGGGACTTGATAATGGGGACAATCTAATAACCACAGTGTTGTTCATGTAATTGTATATTAATGATACCAAAAGAAAAAATAATGATGCACATGATGCCTGTGCAATAAACACTAACTTAGAGTAAAAAAGAACCAGTCATAACTTAACATCCGAAAAAGTGTCATGTCCTCCTCATTATATGAGTATATTTTCTGTGTTTATTTGGAGGAATAAATAATAATAATAATAACTATTCTGAACAAGAATCAAATTTACATTTCTATAAACTACTGCAAGATAGCAGTATTAGCTACACATTCTAACCTCCAGCAGAAACTCAGCATTCATTCCCTGTCGAGCCACTCCCTATTCCTGCAGAAGAGTTGAGTCAGGGATGCACAAGCCATGCATAGAGCAAGGGAGAGGAAAAAGAAAAACAGAGAATTGCTTTAGGGGTGTAGAGACCAAGAGCAAGCCGCCCCAAGAAGTGCCACTTGGACATGCAGATTTTTTTTGGAAGCTGAAAACCATCAAGGCCCATAAGACTCAGAAAGCAATTTGACCTTCTGCCCCCCAACTGCATAAAAATAATTTAGATGGAGGAACCACTCCAGGAGATCTGTCACCATAGATAGCTATATCATAATATAAACTAGGTGTGGTAAATAAGGACATGGATGTGGTTAAGTCTGTTAAAATTGCACTCTCTGCTCCCTGCCCCCTATTGTTTCTGTTTATCAAACATTTTCTCTTCATATTCCTGCAAATTGCTTGCTTCCCTTTTCCTTTGACATCTCAGACCTCTAGCCCCTTCTCCTTGGCTCAGGGTGACCTGGAAAGCTCATCTCCCTGACTGTCTTTGGAACCCATGTCTGTGGCTTCCCCATATGTATGTAACTTTGGTTTTGTAACTGTGGGGAGAGGAAATCCCGTGGCAAAATACCTCTAAAACCAAAATCAGTCAAAGGGAGAAATAAAGTTTAAAATCCATTTATTGCTTACAAACTGCAGTCTGGAGCCGTCTCTCTTTCCTGCTCCTGCAGAAGCAAAACCAGCCCTTCCCCTAACCTCTCAGGTTCAGATAAGCCCTCTGTGGCCCAGGTAATTACCCATTGATAAGGAGATGGACTACCTTTCCCTGCCCCTTAGGAATGCCTATTGATATGCAGATGCACTAAAGCCAGGGGAGATGTTCTAGAAATATTACAATTTTACCCACACGTTTTTTTCTTCTGTTAATCTGTCTCATGCCAGTTTAATTCTTAGACCAGCCAGAAGAACCTCAAGGTGTACAGGAAATTTCTTCCTCCCCATCAGGGGATTTCCCTGGCTCTCTTAGCTGCCTCCTCCCTTGGCTTGCTTGCTTCCCTTTCCTCTTCCCTCTCTGCCTCTTTTTTTCAGTTTATTTTTCTTCTGACATAAAATTTACATAAAATAAAATACAAAATCTTAAGTGTCCTTTTGCTGAGTAAATGTACCTGAAATTAAGGGGCTAAAAACTCAATTCATTCTAGAGCTTTAGCTGCTAATAACAGTTCACCACTGTCACTCTGCTCCCCTCAGCACTGTTCATTTTAGAGTTTAATAACCATCCTCTTTCATCTACACATAAAAAATACAATTCAGAGTGCTGTGGCCTATATTAAGACACGTGTTCATAGAGGAAAGTCTGTTTTTCTGTGTATCTCCAGAAAAGTAGGGCCAATTTCATATGCTTTAAGAGTGTGATGATTAAACCAAACATCTTTATTACAAATGATTTGTAGTTTTGTGCTTCCTTTGTTAAGATGATCTAGTTCATTGGAGTTGTGAGCACCTTTGCCACATGACAAATACTCCCTAGGGTTTCACCCAAGAGGTTTGGAGTAAGTTCTAATAATTATCTTTATGCTCAGTAGTTACTGTGTGCTGCTGCTTTAGGTATGACATAATCGTTATTACCATTAAGGGCTCTAGTAATGACTTTTGTCAAATAGATGGTCAGACAGGCTTCAGCCTGTCTCCTGTTTCAGGATCACATATTACACAATGTCTAGGAGGTGAACCACTGGGATCCTATGCATAAAGCAGTACCTAACCCAGGGTACAAGCAGCTTGGAGGAGAACACAAATTGGAGCACATCACTGTTGGCATGCTGGGAAGGGGGATGGTTTTCTTCCCTCTACTGTGTGCTACGTGTGACTCCCTGTGACACCGGCAGTTTTGTGTTTCCAAAAGTCCCTGTGCAGAAAAGTCAAGTAGTGACTGTGACATCTTACTACACTGATAGACAGAGACTTCAGTGGATTTGGGGGGGGATTTGATAATATGTGTGAATGTAGTAACCACAATGTTTTTCATGTGAAATCTTCATTAAGAGTGTATATCAGTGACACCTTAATAACAAAAAGTCCCTGTGTAAAAGTGGTGTCAAATCGTACCTACAGAGATGAAAGTAAAGAGCTGGTTTGTGTATCAGGGTGGGTGGGTACATACATGTGTGTCATTCTATGAACAGCTATGTGCATGAACACAAGATATGTTTTTTAAAAAAACTATTGCTTTTAACATCATATGCAAAGTTTCTAGGAATTCAAAAAACTTCTACCTGTAACTGTCTTCTTTAATGTGTTTTTATCTTCTTATACATGTTGGAGGAAGAAAGGAATAATTATGCTTGTGAACAAGGATAAATATGCATTTAAGGCAACCAACACCAGTTAGATATCCTAATTAGTATAACAAGAGACCTGGTGAGCGACCGGGGATTTAATAAGCCTGCTAATTACAACTTCTACAAAAGTTGCCATGCCATAGAGTGTCAGTGTGGAAGAGTGCTTGTCCATGAGAGTTTATCAACGCCGGACAACTTTCTCACACCTTGGAGCTATTCAGTACTCTAAGAGGCTCTGAGTCTGACTTGGAGCGTAGTCTAGTGAAGGGTGAATGGGCTGGCATGGGCTGATCTAGCTCACTAGCCAGATGTCAGAAGTAGGAGGGCCTATCCAGGAGGCCTCTTGGACCTCATTCTTCCCTTCCTCTAAGCTAAGGATGTGATCTTAACAGCTGACTGTTTTCCTGCTATGTGCCCACTGTGCCCACATTATTTTGTGTTATACAGCAACCCT